TGGCCGGGCCCTTCCCTCTCAGGATCCCTTTCCAGCTTAAGCTCCCGCAGACCTTTCGCCTCTGGCCTTGCTGACTTGAGCTGGTGCCTCTGAAGTGCTTGTTCTAGGGGCCCCCCTAGAAGGGTGCTCTCAGCACCCTTTTCTGATCAGGACGCAGATAGACAAAAAGAAGCTGTAGGGCAGAGGGTGAAGTAGGCCTTTTCTGCCTCCCAGCACTAGCCTCCATGGCCTGCACCTGTGGTTCCGGGGAGGGCTCGCGCTCCTCGGGCCTTTGGGCTGCGAAGGGAGCCCACACCTGTGCGGAGAAGCAGGGGCGCCCCACCTCTGGCGGGGAGCAGGTCCCTCTGAGGCTAGGGGCTCAGCGCTGCCTCCCTGCCCTGCTGCCTGGCCTGTCCCTGACTCAGCATTAAGGCCTGTAACATGATACCGCGGCTCCAACAGAAGCCTCAGACAGGGCAGCTGGGCCTCAGAGCCAGACTGACCCTCAGGCCAAGGACAGTGGCTGGGGGGGCGGGGGTGCATGTGTGACGCCTGCTCGTTGGCTTTGCCTTCCCACCTCGCCAGCCATTAAGCAGTGTAGGGTAAATGAAACCCTGGCTTCCCCGCCCCCCCTTCCTGCCACCTGCCACTGGGTGGGTGCTGGGGCGGAGCACGAGGCACGAGGCACGCACACCTGTAGTTGTGGACGCCTGGCCCCAGCAGGGCGTGTGCACCTGTGAGCACCAGCACCTGTGCAGACCGGCCCGGAGCAAGGACGGCGGTGTTCTGAGAACTATACCTAAGAGTGAGGTGAGGGCCTCGCTGGTGGGCAGGGAGTGGGTCTCAGCACCGAGAAGCTGCCGGCAGCCACTGCAACAGAGTTCAGTCCCCGCCAGGGAGCTGACCCAGGTGCAGCAGACCTCTCCTGGCCGCCCGCTGCTCCCCTCAGCAGGGCGCTTCATCCATCTGCCTGTTCTGCCCCACCCCCACTGTCTCTGATGAAGCCTCTCACTGCCCCCATCACCCCACCACACCTTTTGCCTGAACCCCAGCTCTTGTATACATAAATAAATCATTAACAAAAAGTGACATGAGACCGTGAGACAATATGAGCCTGAGAACACCCGAGAGAGGCCAGAGAAAGCGCAGATTTGCAGGTAGCTGGACACCTGCGGACTTGCCAGCTCCTGGGGCCCCAGCAGCCCCTGGGCCTTAGCCCTCCCACCCGGCCTGTACCGGGCTTTCATTCACCTGCAGCCAAGCTGAGTCGCCGTCTTCCCCCCACGCCTGGCACACACCTGACACAGGGTCAGCAGTGACAGCCTCCAGGGGAATCAAAACACTGGCCCCTGGGGACTACATGGGTGAAGGGGACACCTCAGGCCTCTCCATCATCAACAGCTTCCAGGGCATCGTGCTCAGCCAACTGGGAGCAGGGGCCGGGCCCTTCCTGACTGCCGGGGTGGGCGGAAGTCTCAGCACGGCACATGCCGGGCGACATTTATGTCCCTGCCATTTAGCTGCAACACGATCCTTGGCCAAACAGAAACCAGCCTCTCCTGGCGCTGCCCACTTCCAGGGGGTTGCCAGGCAGACGCCACCACGCCGCTCAGCAGCTGGAGCGGGGCTGGGGGGCGGGGCAGGGAGCAGCAGAGGCCCCCCAGCCCCGCCCTGGCACAGAGCACGCCACACGCGGCCACCGGGTGCAGGAACGGTTTATTCTTCACAACAGAGAAATACACAGAGCAGAGGGTTCGGAATCCCTGTTTCTTGTCCCCTTCAGTGTCTGCCCCCACATTGGCGTTTTGTTTTGCTCCCCTCCCCTTTTCTTAAATATAACGCAAATTTCTTTCCTGCAGTGTCAGGGGCACCGGCCCTCACCTCCCTGCCACCGAGATGCAGACTGAGAAGCCGACAGACTGTTTTCTCTTTTTTAATAAGGTAACTAGTTCTAAATATGGTGGCCTGGAGGTCCCATAGAAAAAAGCAAAGGGGTGTTAACAGTATGTAGAACAGCGTATTTACAGGGTAGTAACATGCGGACGAAAAGCTACAATACTGAGTATCAGACGCAAGTCAAACAAAGGGGCGGGGCGGGGAACCCCACGGGAAAAGAAACCCCAGGAAACGTTAAACTGGTAAATCAATGGCGAGTTAAGGCTTAAAAAGTGTATAAAAATAACACAGTTAATATTCAAAACGGAACTCCAGATACAGAATATATAGATGAGTTTCTGTCTAGTTTTCTTTTTTCTTTCCCGGGGGATGTAGGGGGGCTTCTCCGGGCTCTGTACATATAGTTCCTATATACATGGACACGCATGGCTTTCAGATTGGGGTGTGTCTGTGGGGGCTGAGGGCAGGGTCTGCTCCTGGGCCCCTCCTCCCCGAGGATCCCTTCCCGGCCTGGGCGCTAGGGCCTGGGCTGGAGATGGCCCCTCCAGTGCAGGGAAGACAGGGTACCCTCCCTGGGCTCTGCCCCATCTGGAGGAAGTTCTGGGGAGGGGTCCTTAGCCCCGGGCCTACTCCCTCCCTACCCCCCTGCCCCAGTCTGGGATGGTGGGAGAGGTAGCCAATAGATTTCCTGGCCAGCACGGAGGTAGACTGGGTGGTCTTCAAGGCAGGGGCCGGTCTTCCCCAGCCTGCTCCCACCATTTCCCTGGGCCTGCGCCCAGCCCCGCCCAACGCTGAGCCCTTTGGTCCTGTGCATCTCCCGGCCCCTCTCGTTCTCCTCCAAAGCCTGGGCAGCCCTGGCGGCTGCCACACTCCTCTGCTCAGTGATGCCCAGGGCACAGCTCAAGCGGTCGAGCTGGGCACGCAGGGCTGAGTGGCTCACTCCAGCTGCTTCCTGCCCCGTCCCACCCGAGGGCCCTCCGCAGTCCAGAACCCAGGCCTGGCATTGCCCTGGAGACCCGAGGCCGTGCCCAGAGACGGTCCCCCGCTGCCCTCGGGTTCTCTGTGTCCATCTGTCCGATTCTTTTAGTTTCTCGGTCTTAGCAGCACCAACTTCTTGGCCAATAAATATCTTTTTTGTTATTTCCAAACAAACTTAAAAAAAAAAAAAAACAGTGAAGCAAATGAAGGGCGGGGAACAAAAGAAAACCCAACAGAGGTTCAAAGTGCTCTGAGATCGTCTTTGGATGCCACCAAAACAGTCCAGAATCTTGCAGTTGGCCTGGCCGCCCCTGGAGCTGGACTGGGCCGGCTCCTGTGGCCCAGGCTTTCTGGAAGGTCAGGGAGGTCGTGAGAGAGCTCGGCTGTTCCTGGAAGGCCCCTGGAGGGAGGCGGGCCTGGTGCTGCCTGGGTCTGGGTCTGCCAGCGGGCAGGGCGGGGCAGTGCCTTGGGGCGGCTCAGATGAGGGAAATTCGCACCGGAATGCCAGGAGACTCCGTCCTCTGGGGTGAGTGATGGCTCACCAGGTGCTCCACCACCGTGTGTTTGGACATGTGCTTCATCAGGTAGGTCTCCTGTGGGCAGGGGAGAAGGCAGAACTTAGAACACCTGCGGGCAAGGGCCTCGGGGAGGCTGCAGTTCCCACAGCGGCCACTGGAGGGCTCCTTGGTAGGCGGCCAGCGGGTGGGGAGTCAGCTGGGCAGAAGGATTCTGCACTGACACCAGGGAGGAGGCTGGTTCACTTATCAGAGTCTGAGAGCTGGGTGTGCTGGCAGGAGAGTGAGCAAGCACCAGGCTCACCCCTCCGCTGTCCCCACCTGGAAGTGCCATTTACCAGGGGGGCCAAGCCTGGCCTGCCCTGCTCTGGCTGGGTGGGGCGTGAGGACGGGTCTCAGGCTGCTGCTACCTTTTCTCAGCAGTGGAGTCCACCCTTCCAGCTCCAAACCAATTCCCTCTGTGCGCCCTTAGCACACAGCAAGGCAAGGACCACTCCTTCCTGGTCTCACACTCGGTCGCAGGTAGCAGTAGGAGCCCTGGACTCTGCACCCCAACACTCGACCCTCCCTCGGGGAAAAGACGGGGCTGAGCTGATGGTGATCCTGGGAACGTAAACTGCGCTGCAGGCCCAGGCTCTGCCTGCAGACCCGTGACAGGTGGAGGTGCCCAGGCTGATCTGCCTCGGGTCTCGTGAGCCCCACCCCCGGCTGCCACAGAGGGGCTAAGAACCACAGTGGGAACGGTACCGGGGAGCCGAGAACTTGAGGCCGGGACTGGCCGAGCGGGTCCCCCCACAGACCCCACGGGCCCTCGTCCCTGCAGCGCTGCCCCCGTCTCTCAACTCGCCTCTGCCCTTTGGGCTCCGGGAAGGACAAATGCCTGTGACCAGCACGCTAAGGTCTGGCTGGCTGCAGACACAGGCCGAGCTGCAGGCCCTGGGCCCTTTCACAAACGCCTCCCCATGTTCACCCCTCATTCCACCTGGGAAAAGATCCCAGCTCCCCGGTGGGGCCCCTGGAGCCCCCCAACTCCCTGCTCTGGTTTTCGCTCAGTTCCAGGGACACACCAAGCTGATTCCGCCTCAGGGTATCTGCCTTCACTGCTGCCCACCTGGAAGGTTCTTGGCCCTCCTTCCCCTCCTCAACTGGCGGATGAGTCTCCATCTCAATGTCACCTCCTCAGACAGCCTGCACCTACCTCTCCTCCCCAGCTCCATCCTGCCCCTCTGCCGCTGTCTTCCGAAACATATTTTCTTGTCACAACAGTGGTCTCAACCACCAGTGCTGCCCCTCACACCCCGGGGACAGCTGGCAAAGTGTGGAGGTGCTCTTGGCTGCCGTGACTTGGGGGAGGGCTGCTGGGGGCAGAGGTCGAGGGTGCTAATGAACTGAGCCCTCCAGCAACCGTGAACACGGGTGAGGCCGAGAAAGCCACCTCGAGCCAGGCCTGCAACTTGTCCTCAGGTATTTCTGCACTGGCCCGTGTGGCATCTGTCGCCAGCACTACACTCTCACCGCCCTGGGGGCAGAGACTGTCTGATGCACCGTGAGTTTCAGGCACCTGGCACAGGTGTTCAGTCCGCACTGGGTGAATGCACAGCTGCATTAGGTAAGGCTCACAGGGTGCTGCCTCTGCCTCGAGAACCGTCCCCTGTCCCCTTCTACAGAGGAGGAAACTGAGGCTCAGGGATCTCTAGCTAGGTATCCCTGGGGGTCTGTTAGCAGCGTATCTGTCAAGTCAGAAGCGCACACACAGGTGATTTACCTGCATGCCTTCTTCCCATGCAGAAAGACCCTTGTTGAAAGAAATTCCCACCCAGAGGATGGGAGCCGCGGCCTTCCCAGAGCCCTTCAGGTCTTTTCTGAGAGACTCGTGGCCCTGGGCCAAGTCACTGCGCCACCTCGTGGCCATATTGGGGGTGGCAGCTTCCTAGTGGGGGAGGCCCTGCTCAGGGCCCCCACTGCACCGGGAGGAAACCACACCTGGGGGCCCAGGCCACAGGCCACCAGGAAGCTGAGAGCCCAGCCTGGGACCACCAAAAACAGGACTGGGAAGCAGGAGCCTCGGTGCTGCACTCACTGTGATCTTGAGTCCTCACTTCCCCTCTTTGGGCCTCAGTTTCCTTGTCTAGAAAAGGGGGAACCAGTACAGACCTGCAGAGGAGGAGGCCGCTGGGCCCAGGGAGAGGAAGAGACCCCCAGGTGCTCACCGAGGTGTAGGCCCGCCCGCACATACTGCAGCAGTAGGCCTTGGCGTGCTTGATGGCGTGGGCCGACAGGTGGATCTGCAGGGAGGCGGAGTCCGAGTAGGCCCGGTAGCAGTTGGGACACTTGTAGGGCTTGTCCTTGTTGTGCTGGCGCTGGTGAGACTGCGGGAGCAGAGGAGGGGTCAGGAGCCCCCCAGTGCTTCCCCTGCCTCGTCCCCTTTGTGTCCCCCTTGCAGGGGAGGCAGCCGTGCACCTGGGGGTCGGGGCAGGCGGGCACTCACCTGGAGGTTGGAGAGCTGAGTGAAAGCCTTTTCACAGCCAGGATGTGGGCACTTGTAGGGTCTGTCGCCTGTGTGGATTCTGCAACGGGCGGGCAGCCCAGTGAGGTGCAGGCCCTGACCGATGCCCCGAGGCCGCTCCAGACCCTGAGCCCACAGCAGGCCTGCACCGCACCTCTGGCCACCTCTGGCATGCCCTCCAGGCAAGAGTTAGGGACGGCAAAGGCCACCCCCTCTCCATCCTTCTCAGGCTGCCAGCCAGAGCTTTCTGCTCCTCACAGATCCCTGCTGACCCACATTCCACCAGCACCGAGAGACCTGGCCCCAGGCCGTGCTTGGCTGTCTTCTGCCCTGGCCTTCTAAGCAACCCGCCTGCAGACCACCCAGCGACAGCAGCACAGGTTCCAGCTTGGTCAGAAAGTCCCTGCCCACCCTGCCTCTTTCCCTCTAACTGGGCTACAATTTCTACCTCCTGCCTCCTCCCCAGGTTGGGCGTATGTCCATGACAGCTGTATGGTCACTACTGAGAGAAGGTAGGACAGGTGGCCCTAAAGGTCAGCCCCTCTGTGTCCTTTCTTTGGGCTCCTCAGTGCCCCCACACTCCTGGGTTCTCATCCTGGCTCCATCATTTACTCTCTGGGTGACATAGGGAACATCACTGAGCCTCGGTTTCCACGTCTGCAAAATGGGTATAAAAATACAGTCCCTCTTCACCAGGCTCTATGAAGCAGCACAGATGACACGTGTGAGGGGCTTGGCCAGGCACTGGCACAAGGTCAGTGTTCAGGGTAAAAGCTTGCCAGCATTCTCACGGGTATTCACTACACCAGGGGTCCCTGTACCAGGCATTGAGCTAGGTACTAGGTGTATCCTTGAACAAAAGAGACCTCTGCCTTGTGGAAACAAAGAATCAGCAGGAAGAAACCACGTGTAGGAGGCAATAAGTACTTCAAGAGCAAATGGGGGTGGGGGGGAGTGTGTGGGGGGCAGGGGGTACAACTGTAACCAGAGTGACCAGGTAGGGCCTCAGTGTGCCACATCACCAATAATGTCCAGTCTTTGTGGGTATTTCACTAGTGTTGTTGACTGACTGACTGACTGACTAACTGACTGACTGACTGACTGACTGACTGACTGTCCTCCAAAGACTTCAGGGACTTCCTCTTGACCAGAAAACTGCCCCCAGGCTTCCTCTCCAAGTGCCACAGCTGCCCAATCTCATCCCTGGTCTCCCAGCCTCAGCCTCCCTGCTCCTGGCCTCCAGCTCAGCAAGAACAGCACAGGGCCTGACCTTGTCCAGCACAGGGTCCAACCTTGTCCAGCACAGGGCCTGACCTTG